TCGTACTACATGAGAAAAAGGATGAATTCTCGGCTTGGATAATGCAATATATGATGACATGCAAAACCTCCATTTATTATACATCTATTTTTAACTTTTATGCTCAGTTAACAAAATTTTAGGTTGCAAATCTATTTTAAATCATTTTTAAAAAAATGCATTTTTTTTAATGGCTGATTTTGCTTTCTATTTGTAAAATTGTCTCCTGAAGGCCTAAGAGTGAGTCTGTCAAAATGCTAGGGTAAAGACAAAATTTCACATTGGGGGTAGTGCTGAAACATACATACATGGTGCTTGTTTTTTGGGTTTGGATGAATCTTGTACAAATCAAAGTAGCTCCTGCCTGATGAAGGATTTATCATAAGGATTTGAAGCAATGTTTTACAAGACTGGATGAGCTTCTTGACACTCAACTCAGACATTCATGATAGTTCAAGTACACTGAATGTTTTTATTGAAACATCATCTCTAGGAAGGTTGCCATTTAAAGCTTGGGACCCCATCTGAGCCATATATATATATATATATATATATATGTATGTGTGTGTGTGTGTGTGTGTCTGTTAGATGAAATGGATTAAATCTGACAAATATTTTAATATATTTACTGTTTGTATATTTTTTATGGATACAACTTAATTTTCTAAAGTACATAATGAGGAAAGAGGGCTTGGAATTTGATACTCAGATTGAAAGCAAGAGAAACAGAAGAAAAAAATGCATAACCTCCCTGGTAAGCTAGAGTGGATGGTAGATTAGGGTTTGGAAGAGTCAAAAGACAAAATTTATTAAGCACTACAAAGGACAAGAAGTTGTGGAGAGCTATGATCATCAACGATCTGAAGGGACACAGCACATAAACGAAGAAGGCATGAGAACAAGAACCTGCTCTAGCACTGACTAAATAATCACTTCTTGGGAAAGCTAAGTGAGTGATTTCCTATTGTTCAGATTGTCCAAGGGTACATGACCCAGTGGATAAAAGCATTGGTTGAAGTAATCCAACAACTTGACCCAAAGAGTTGTGAGATCAGCAGAGGTGAACAAAAACTTGGAGAGTTAAGTTACTAAAGGGAAATAACTGAAACGGAGATATCCAGAAAAGGCATGGTAAATGAAACTAGAATAATCTACTCTGGTCGACAAAATAAAAGGGCCCAGTTCGAAATTCCAATCACCTGAAGAAGGCTGGAGCATACAACAGCCAAAATATTATGAATATGACAATAAATAGCATAAATACTTACAAAACTTCATCTCAGAAATATACAGATATTGAGTGATTTTCAGTTACCTTTTCTATGATTTTTTATCCAGTTTCTTTCTCTCAGATTGGCTGCCAACCAAGGCTAGAGAGATGTATTTATCCTGCTACTTAACCCATAAGTAGAGGGGAGAAGATAGATTTGTGCCTATTACAAGGGCATTTGTGCAAGAGTGAATACATTTGAATTCGGCTCATTGATTCTGCTGTTCATACTGATAACCGAGACACTGCCCAGACATACAGTTAGATAAACTTATTCAATACAATAACAGAAAATATAGGTTATATTATATAAATAACAGACTGGCAGTAATTAAACCAACATGACTGGACTGAAAAAAAAACATGACAGTATTTTAAATATGTGGTATGAAACATTATTGCTGTACAAATTATTCAAATTTTATTTATATATTTTATGATTTATACACATAATTTTATAAGAGATGTGAAAGCAGACAAATTAATAAGCAATTCATAGCAAAAAAGAAAATTTTTTTTTTTCCAGTATCACCCCAGGCAAGGCAGCAAAGTCACTAAGACATGAGAGGTTACAGAGTGTGGCAGAATTAGGAACAAAAACATTAATAATGAATGAGAAGAGGAAAGAGAAGAGGAAAGAGTAACCAGGACAGGAAGACAGAAGATAGTGGTTGACATTGCATTTAAAGTTTTCCAGATTAAAGTTGGCTGAAGAAGGCTGGAGCATACAACAGCCAAAACATTATGAATATGACAATAAATAGCGTAAATAGTTACAAAACCTCATCTCAGAAATATACAGAGATATATGGAGCTGGAAGGGAGTTTCACATCTCGCCAGCTCAACTGTAAATTGATGAGATCTTGATGCCAGTCTAGTATATTGCTTAAATTAGAAAACTAGGTACCATAGTGAAGAGCACATCACAACAATTAGTACAAAAGTATTTATAGAAAAGACACAGAGAGGCAACCTTATGGCTGTGGTTAAGTGACTGAAGCTGAGCTGCCAGATCAGAACCAATAATATTGCTGATTCTTTGGATTTTATCAAGGAGCTAAAGCAGGAGCACTGGACTATATGTGGCAGTAATATTCTAAGCATGAGTGAAAGTTAAACTTATAAATATGCAAGAGAGATTCTGGAAAGAAAAATTCTCAAGCAAAACACAGGGAAACAACTTTCATAACAAAAATTAAATTCATAAATTTTAGACAATATTTCATAATTTATATAAGTCTTTTTAGAACAATTTTAAGGAGAATTAAATGGGAATTATTTTTGAAAATCTATCTTCTATATAATAAATGCAAATGTCTGTGAGTTACACTTTTTCAGCTTTACTCCTAGAGGCCGTAGCACAACATATCATACCATTTTGGAATCAGACCAACCCTGTGAACAAACATTCCAGACCAGATCTGCAATCTTAAAGTTTTGGATTCCCAAGTTTTCATTACTCTGATTGTTTACAGCAATTTTTTTATGTGATTTTTTACGACAAATTTTTTTGTACGATAACAATTTTGAATTAAATTTAGGAATAATTGAAATTAATTGCAAAAGCCAACAAAAGTCACCCATGAAATAAAAATAATTGTTTGTACAGAAAGTAAGAACCTACATACATCAAATTGTCTTTAAATTAAGTGATGGCAGAAGAATTATCATTGAAGTTTTAAAAGATAAGCTTAAATATTAATGCAATATTAAATGTAGCAATTAATTTTGAGTTCTTCTGTAGTCTATTGTTACCTATCACATCTACTCCTCCCTACCTAATATGATGAAGGCCTAATCAAGAGCACTCCACAGGAACTAGGTTAAATGCCACCTGGGGAAGCAGCTTTTAAGCTAGCAAATATCAATAAAGATTACCAGTTGCATTAAGAAAAATCACAGTTTAATAATATTTGTCCAAATTACTCTTAGTGTCTAATGTTTACATGGATACTACTTTTGAGGTTTAAATTTTAATATTTAATAAACTATTTTAATGATTAATTTTAAAATAGTTTTTCTTTTTTTTTTTTTAAATCAAGTTCACCCCAAGCAAGGCAGTGATACCACAAAGGCACAAGAGGTTACTGGGTATGGAAGAATTACATTGATATTATTTTTGAGAGTGTAATTTACATGTAAATAGAAATTACCATCACATTAACAGAAGCACTACTTGTTTAATATTAGCTCAAATTGCTCTTAGGGTCACATGATTACATAGATACCACTTTTGATAACCTTATACACAAATCAATAATATGATAGCATTAGTTGAAGGTCAACTTGCTGGAAATTATTAGTCCACAATGCTCTAAATAATGAAATAATATAATAAATGTAACAGTATTTTTCTAAGATGAGGTATTATAATTATTTATACTATTTACATTGTTCAGAGTGTGGTCTTCATTTTTTTGCTATATTCATAATGTTTCGGCCATTGTAAGTTCCGGCCTTCTTCAGATGATTGGAATTTAGAACCTCTGCTGAACAACACTTGGAGAGTTGATTTAAAAGGGAGATAACTGATACTGAGACATCTGGAAGAGGCATGGCATGTGGAACTAGAACAATCTACCCCCATTGAACGAAATAAAGGGTTCAGTTTGAAATTCCAATCACCTAAAGAAATTACAATGGCCAAAACGTAGTCAAGATGGCAACAAAGATGAGGACAACAGTCTGAACAATGTAAATAGTATAAATGATAAATGTAGCATTTTTTTATGCTTATTAATTACACTTATTTAGGATTAGAAATCCTACCAGGATTCATTTTTGGTGGCCACAATCTCGACAACATAAGGTACAGAGTGTTGATAGCAGATACAGGAAAAAAAAACTACAAGAATTCCTACAGACGGTAGTAAAGGAAAACGAGAATAAAGAATGGAACAATTCTAAGATGCATGGTTGTCAGTAAAAGAAACAGCTACAAATTGGAGACACCAAAATCAACCAGCTATAAAAGTTTAAACGTTCAAGAAATGTTTATAACAGTAGATGGAAAATGTGACACTGAAATCTGACGGGGTATTGAAACAATGAAAGGTGCTTTTCAAAAGTTGATCAAAGTATTAAGAAACAGGAAAATTTCATTAGAAACAAAGGAAACACTTATGTAATATTGGTCCTCCTACATAACACTGAACAATCTCCTAACAGATGAAGAGATTTGAGGCAATATTTTTTAGATTGTAAGAATTTAAATTTTCTTTTTATTGAATATAATGATTTAATGATACAAATCTTACGATTTAACACATAGCTGGTGTGAGAAGAGGGGGATTAATACCTAATCAGAATTTGATAAACAAACAAGAAATTATGAGGATATAAATTGGGGGATCAGTTTTATATTATGATCAATACATAAACTGATCCCTGACTTTGTGACCATGATAGTTTCTCTAGATTTATATTCCAGAGAATATAAATAATTCTAAAAGACATGCTAGTGTAGCTAATTGGTATTTGATTCATTAATTAATTTTCTATGGTTTATCAACCCTTTTAAGGTTATTTAAAGCCAGAAAATATTTCTAGACTGTTAGAATTGGGGGAGGTGGATGATAATAATAATAATTTAGTGATACAAGTCTTACTAATTAACTCATAGCTGGGAGAAGATATGGACTTATATCTTTCCCAAGGGTATTTGCGTGTAAATGAAACAGGAATTGGAACTTGGTTCTTCGATTAATAATTCTGAGTCATTATCCATTACACCACCTGCACATTCAAGCTTATAGCACCTGGTATTCCCAAGCAGTCACCCATCTAGTTACTGACCAGGCTCAATGTTGCTTAACTTTGCTGATTTTATGGGAACTGGTGATTCAATGTGATAAGACTGCAAGCCTTGGTGAATGAAGAACATTAATTTTAGAATGTGAAACTTTTTCTTTTAAATCAATTCACCCCAAGTAAGGCAATAACACCACTAAGATGCAAGAGGCTACCAGAAGTGAAAGAGAAGGAAAAGAATTTCAAAGGAACTGAAATACCCAATCTTAAACAGGAAACAAGGGATAAACATCTACTCATGTTCAAAAGACCAGGGAGGAGTGTGAACCTATCCATTCCTATTTAGGAAAAAAAAAATTAAAAAGCTGTTTGATTTGTCCTCAAGGACACATGGCACAGTGGATAAAGGCGTTGGTTAGATCCAGTGACAGAACCCAAAGTGTGTGAGTTCAATACTCAGTTAAGGCAGTGGAAAACTTTCAGAGGGAAATTAACAGGAGATAACTGACATCCATCAAACATGGCACATGGAACTAGAACAGTCTACCCCATTGAGTGAAATAAAGGGTTTAGTTCGACATTCCAACCACCTGAAGAAGGCCGGAGCGTACAACGGCGAAACGTTGTGATAAATATGGCGACAAAGATGAGGACAATAGTCCGAATAATGTAAATAACTGTTTGATTTATATACTAATGTCATCCTTGTGCAGGAATTTATGTAGCAACAGTGGAATAACTGTGTAAGTTTTGGTGAAGAGAATTAAATGTATGTGAATTGGGCAACTTTTCCCTTTTCCTTCAAAATCTGATCATTTTGCCAATGATTATAGCTCAGCAGTAACTAACCCAAACAAATATAGTCCTCTAGGCAAGAGGCTACTTGCTGCAGAAGGAAGAATTCAGCCAACCAAGGAAGAATTCAGCCAACCAAGCACTTCTTCTAAGGAGTGACATAATTAAAGAACAATTGTTGATTATTCTCATTTTACACTGTCAGGTTCTTGCACTAAACTTAGGATTGACTTGGGAAAACTGTGGTGAAATATCAATTCTTTAATGTAACTCATTTGAAATCTACCTACCACTACATCCCAATACTCAAAGACAAACCTTGTCCAGCTTTTGAGGATTTGGATCAGCTATACCAGTTCTACTGGACTCCATTTAGAGCAGACAGGTTTACATATCGCCCAGTTCACAGTTTTTTGAACAGGAGTAAAAGTTTATCCCTGGTTTCCTGTTTAGGATTGGGTTTTCATTTCCGACTCCTAAATTCATCTGATTCTCTTTTACCCACAGTAGTCCCTTGTGTCTTAGTGGGATGAAATGACCAAACACTGGAATTACCTGCTGGAATTATCTGCTTTCAATATATCATATATTCATCATTGGCAATTCTCCCTCTGATACATTTTCTTTTTCTCTTTCCCTCTAACTTTTTTGCTAATCTTCCCTATCATAGTAGCTTAGTATATACTAAGTCAAAGAAATATAGTCCTCAAGGCAAACATTTTATTATTACAACTGACCTGAAGAGGTTATTAGTAGAAGAGATGATTAAGCAAAGTACTCCTTAGTGAACTAAATTCATAACATACCACTAATTAAAACAATAATTGTTAATTTTTCCTTTTTAAAAGAAGTAATTGACAACTATTTTTTTAAGGAAAAGGATTAAAAAAAAAAATTATAATAATACTTAGAAAGAGAAAGTTGAGATTTGTTGGATACAATGAGGAAAGAGGAGTTAGAAAATATGACACTCACAGGGCATACTGAAGACAAGAGAGTAACAGTGAGTAATAAGTTACCTGATGAGCTTGTATAAATTGATGACAGAACAAGAAATAGGAGGGATAGTAAAAAGACAAACATTGCTAAGAGGTACAAAGGATAGGAAGTTGTGGAGATCCATGATTGCCCACACCCTGAAGTGACATGGTACCTAAAAGAAGAATAGAATGTTAACCATTTCACACTGTTAGATATTTATTCATAGCTTGGATTGACAAACTCATGAACATTGACACAATATCAACTCTTTAATGACCAACTTGAAACCTGCCTACAGTCACATCCCAATACTTGAAGACAAACCTTGTATAGCCTTTGAGGGTTGGGGGTCAACTATTCCAGTTTTGCTCGATTCCATTTGGAATAATCAATGGTGTTGCCAGCTTTCACTGTATTATTGCAAACTCTCCTTCTGGTATATTTGCTTGGTTCGATAACAAAATTTGTCAGTAGAAAAAAATAGAGATGAACATGGCATTAAACCTCAGGAGAATTACTGTAGCTGTTGAAAGGTTTAATTTGGTCTATAATCATGATATGTACACATTCTCTGCAATTTCTGTGCACCTCCTGAGGGTAAAATCAAACCTGATCCTGACAGACTTAAGTTATGGAAAGGAATTCACTATATTATGCTGTATAATATGTTATTGTACTATTCTCATTGGATTACTAATTATTCCAAGAAGATTTCAAAGTAGTAAGCAATAGTAATAGACAAGGCGGCTTATACCAAGGTGAAACACCAATACTATTTAACTAGATAGTACTTTACTATTCTTATACATCAGAAATCAGTGACACTCATGTTTGATTTATAGCAGTAGGTTTTAAATAATTAATGGATTTTTTAATCCAACATTGTTCTTTATTACTTCTTTCTTTGTTTTTATGTGCCATGTCCTTTCAGAATGTAGATGATTGTGGTTCTCCACCTCCCTCTATCTCTTGCAGCTCTCAGCAAGTTCCTTCCCTCTGCTTCCTCCACCAGACCATGTTCTGTCATGCACCTGCACAAGCTTGTCAGGTATATTACATGTTGCTTTCCCTTGTCTCTTTTTCCATCTATTCGACCCATGAGTATCAGATTCTCCAAGCCCTCCTTCCTCATTATGTGTCCCAGAAACTTCAGCTGCCTCTTTCTGATGTTAAGTATAAGCCTTCTCCTTGTCTCCAAGACCTCATCATTGCTCACATATTACTATAAATATTATATTCTATGAGGACATATGTTTGAGTTGACATACATGTTATTTTAAACAGCAAAATTAATACCAACTGCACTAGGTGATCAAGAAGACCTGGGTAAAAATAGCTTTGAGGGAGCGAAGCCAGAAAATATTTTTTAGGTTGTAAGAATTTTCAAAAAAATTTTATTGGAGATAATGGTTTAAAGTGCTACAAGTTTTACTAATTAACCCATTGCTGGTGGAAGGAGAGGTGGATTAATACCTAATCAGAATTTGATGAAGAAATTATGTGGATATAAAGTGGGGATCAATTCTATATTAAAATCAACATATAAAGTGATCCTTCACTTTGTGACCACTGTAGTTTCTATAGATTTATATTCCAGAGAATGTAAATAAATAAAGAAGACATGCTTGTGTAGCTAATCGGTATTTGATTGATTCATTGATTCATTTTCTATGGCTTATCAATACTTTGCCAGTTATTTAAGGACACACTTCTTCAAATATAGTGTACTGGCAAAGATTAATTTGTTTAAAAGCACATCAATTCTATATGGGTCATTTAATGCCAAAATTTAATTTTCTTGGGAGCTTTGAAGTAATAAAAATATGTTATTCTCCTTTCACAATTGAATACATGGTAGATGATACTCAGCTTTTGTGCATATACATATTTGTGCGGACATAATTACTAGAAGTGATGATGTGGGCATTATGTTGTAGTTATATTTTGGAATACAGTTTGATATTATATGGATTAATACAATGAAAGATTTTTCATGCTGGTTGTTTGGTTGATCTTGTTTAGCAGCATATCAACCACTATGGATCATTTAATGCTGAAATCTAACTATTTTGAATGCATTTTTATGCCTTCAACTACAGTTAAAATGTACTGCTGGTAATTTTACTATCAATAGGTGCTGATGATTTTTTGTTATATAAAAAGGAATTACTGGTATTTTTACTATAAAAATGTAATTTTATACTTTCATAGTGTTTTTTTTTTTGTTTGGCAGTCATTATTTTTTTATGTTGATGTTCCACTCTAATTCAAATAAAAGATTGGCAAAGAAGCCCCCATCAGTATTGAAAAGAGTGATAATATCTACTAGACTTGAGAAACCTATTTTCCTGTAAATTGTTTTAAGAGATAGATTTTATAGATTTCAAACAAAAACAACTCTTGACTGCTTAATCAATGAATGCTAAATGTTTCCTTATAAAGAAATGACTAATATTACTGCCACAAAAGATAATTAGCCTCCTGGCATGAATCAAACTTGTATCCCCTTTTTAATCTGCCAAGTGTGCTTCACTATGAACCCACAAAAATCCATCCCAGCAAAGCAAAGCAAAACTCTACTCGAGGCATATCTCGTTCAGACCTTTCAAAATCTATATGTCCTAACTTTATTTTCATACCCAAAATGTAAACAAAGGAATTTTTAGACAGTTAATGGAGTTTAATCCAACATCTTTAAACCAGATGACAATAATTTCGCTGTTTAGAATAACAGATGTCTTTTCAAACATGTGTAACCACTAAATATAATATTTATAGGAAGAATGCTCAACAGTCTCATAAAATTCAATGATAGAGGATTGTTCTTGCTTTTTATGATTTTGATATAAAGTACTACCCTGATTGATTGATGTGTTTTCTAGAGTTCATCAACCCATTGCATGTTATTTAAAGCCAGAAAATATTTTTAAATTGTAAGAATTTGGGAGGGGGGATAATAATGATTTAGTGATAAAGTCTTACTAATTGACCCATGGCTGAGGGGGAGATGAGGTACATTCATACCTTTTCCAAGGGTATTTGTGTGTAAGTGAATATAATTAACCCAACTGGAATTGGAACTCAGCTATCCAATCAACAATTCTGAGCCATTATCCATTATATCCACCTGCACATCCAAGCTTACAGCACCTGGTATTCCCAAGCAGTCACCCATCTAAATACTAACCAGGCTTGAAGTTGCTTAACTTTGGTGATTGTATGCAAATGGGTGTTTCAATATGATGTGGTCATAGGTCTGTACTACCCCGAGAAGTTTAACATTATTACAGATAATTTATCGAGGGTATATTGTTCTGCTAGTATGGGCACCTGTCCGAGTGGTTAGTACACTAGCATTCTAACCATAGGACCTCCATTTGAATCTCACCATGGGTGATTTTTCAGTTATGTGACGTCTAGATAATATCAGCCTGAGGAGATGATCCTAACTTGTGGCAATCTGGGTGTTGAGCACTTTATTCTACTGAGTAGAAAAGTGTTTCCCTTTAGAGATTTTTCTTTTGTTCAAGATTTTCTCTTGATTACAATGTGTTATATAAGAATAAAGTATTGCTGCTGACACTTGAGTTTGAACATAGATCACCAGTGAGCAAACACAGATGATCCCATTATTGAATTAAGTGGATCACTTGACCATAGAGGAAACGCATAGATAAGAAGTCGCGTGATGTCTAGATTGATCTCTATTACTATTCGGATCACCATTTCTACTCTATCCTCTATTACTATACAGACTGCTATTATCTACTTTAGTCACTATACTATTTCTCTATTCGAATCAACATACGTACCATTGGTGCTATTCAAAGATGTCTGACCAGTATTGTTCAACAGTGTATTATAGTTGTATCTGCAATTACAAAGTCTCTACTACAACGAGAATTACAAAAGTGACAATGAGTATTCGTTGACATCACAAAATAGGGTTAGGTCTTTTGGCAAGTCCTCAGTTGGTTCTACCAATGTTTTTAGTTTTTCTTTTATATATTTTCCCAGTTTCATGTGTAAGGTTAATGGACATTTTTTTTTTGGTGGTGGTAGTGGGGGAGGCTACATACTTTCTTATTATCTAAGATTGCCATGTTCTTTGTTGAATAAAATTAAAGAAATAAATTAGAGTTCTACTTTTTGTTTTGGCATAATTAGTTCTGATGGATTTGTTCTGGGTTAAAATGTTAATTGGTAAATCCAGAGCAGAAATTTTCCTGGAGAAAACTGTGCAATAGTTTTCATTATATACAGAAAAAAAATCATGCAACGCAAGCAAAAACAATAGACTACATTCATTTTTTAAGTCTGAACAATCTATTTTTTTTTAATTCTATATTCTTTAGAATAATTATAAAAGTCAAAATCAAAAAGTTGTAGAAATAACAAAGTACAATTCAAATTTGCTTTTGAGGTGTTCATATTACTGGTTATATTAAAAGTAGGACTTATTTTTAAAGAAAGCAAAACTTCCATTCACGATAACAACATGCATTGTGACATTGCAAATACAAAAAGCACACAAAGAGAGTGAAGAGGCAGAAGTATTCATATAGCAGGAGAAAAAAAAACTAAACTTTTTCATCCAGTAACTTTCTTTATCCATACAATCTCTCCTCCGCCTCGTCCTCAGTACCATTAAAGACCCCCTTCAGAAGTTAGGGCCACAGACTCACCACTCTAGGTTGACTGACTGATTCATTTTCTGTGGCTTATCAATCCTTTGCAGGTTATTTAAAGCCAGGAAATATTTTTAGATTGTAATTTTTTTTTTTAAGATAATAATATTTTAGTGCTACAAGTCTTACTAATTAACCCATAGTTAATGGGGGAATAAGTGGATTAATACCCAGAATTTGATAAAGAAACAAGAAATTATAATGTAGATATAAAGTAAGGAAACAATTCTATATTACAATCAATATATAAATTGATCCCTCACTTTGTGACCAAGTTAGTTTCTATACATTTATATTCCAGAGAATTTAAATAAATCAAAAAGCCATGCCTGTGTAGCTAATCAGTATTTCATTGTTTGATTGATTGATTCATTCATTTCCTACAGCCTTATCAAGCCAGAAAATATTTGTAGATTGTAAGAAATGTGAGGTAGAGCAAGATAATGATTTAGTGACAATTCTTACAAATTAATCCATAGCTGGGAGGAGAAGAGATAGATTCATACCTTTCCCAAGAGTATTTGTGCATAAGTGAATTTAATGAACCCAATGGGAACTGAAACTTGACTCTTTGATTATCAATTCCAAGACATTATCCATTGCATCACCCAAACATCCAAGTTTAGAGCTCCTGATATTCCCAGGCAGTAACCCATCTAGGTACTGACCAGACTTGACATTGCTTAACTTAAGTGATTGTATAGGAACTAATGTCTCAACATGATATGGCCATAAGCCTCACCACTGTTGGTTTTGTTACTGTGGTTGTTATAGCATCTAACTATCTGCCTATTAGCTTCCTACCTCTTTTCAGGAAATTCCGAGAGACCCTAATCAATGCTGAATTGGTTCTTCATCTCTCATCACAGATTCTTGTTTTCAGACAAGCAATATGGCTCTCGTTTCTCCAGGTCAACTGCTGACGATAATGTGTCTATCATGCTCTAGATAAAAAAAACAAAAAACAGTGAAGCCCGGGCTGTAGCTTTGGACATTTCGAAAGCCTTTGACATGGTTTGGCATACAGGTCTTCTCCACAAGCTGAAAAGTTACAGTGTCTCCA